AGGTCTCAGAATGATGGATTATCTCACTTCCCTGATGTTTATCCCAAGAAAGAGTTTCTCCTTAGAGGGAAAACAAACAACTGATCCTACAAACAATCATGCTAACTACACTTGGCCATTTCGCGTTCATCTGCTAACAGAAGGAAGAGAAATATATCATTTGTGTTTAAAACCCAAACTACATCGGAAGTTTTATTATTTCAATGAAATGCAAGGGAAAACAAGAAGAAAGCAGCATTGCAGCTATTCAGTATTTTAGTAAAACCCAAGTTATACTGACAAGTTGTCAGTAATTTCAAAATAATTTTTCAAGATTATTTTGAAATGAAAATAAACAAATGGAATAATCTTAAATAATAAGAAACATATAAATATTAACATTACCTATTTTGAAATACAGGACTGAACTCATATCTCAGATAGAGCCTAAGTTTTCTAAATTACCCATGATTCTTTCACACTTGCATAGAATTACACATGTGCTAAGACCCAAATATGTTATATCTGATCGTCACAAGGAATTAACATTGTTTGGATTTGTCATTAATATGTCAAATCATGAAATTAACATACGGAAAAGTTACACATATTGCTTACCTATAGAGGCATAATACTCATGTATAGATTCAAATGAAAAAGATGATGCACTAAGATTTTTATATATAAATTTTAAGTGCTTATTGCAGTCAGGTTTCCTATTTGATTCAATTCCTAATTGATTTCAGAATACTAACATCTTTCTAGAGATTTTAACAGGGACATAATTGGAAATGTTAAAGTACCTGAGACTACCTCAGAAGCTTTGACATTTGTAGCACATAATAGCTCAAGTGTAAGGAAAAAAAATTGATTATTCATTTTTGAAATATATACAGGAACCTTCCAAATCAATCACACAATCCATCATATCTCAGCCTGGACTCTTAATCTTCTTGTAAATATAGGGATTGAAAGAGATGAACCATCTTAATCAGATCCTTCCTCCATCACAAAATTACTACTGTCACTGACACAAAAATGACGAATTTCAGCTAGAATCTGTAACAACTACTAAAAAAAGGTTACATTGCCCACCAAATACATACAGAATGTAAAAGTACAAAGCCTATTTATAGAAAATGCAAGTCATCAACTGACTAACCATAAAAGTCAGTGAATCACTAATTCCTATGGCAAAGCAGCCAAAGACATTCCACCACCACATCTGTCAATTCTTGGATGACTTAAGGAAGAGAAAAAGACACGATGCATCACTCCCTAGAACCTTTATGAGATGACAGGTGGTGAAGTCTCCAACTCCCTCTAAAACTTCAAATGGGGAAAAATGACACTATTACTTCTCTGAAAGTCTTGTTTCCGTTTGTATGTTCATATTTGCAAGAGTCCAGAAAAAAGAATACAAAACCAAACTGGAGAGAAACTACCATGGTCTCTCCTGAAATTCAGTGTGTTCACAAAGCACTGAGGAAAATCACAGAAGTGAGGCCACAACCTACAACTGACTTCTCAGCTATCATTTGTTAAACAACGCTGGTCAGGGATAAAGAGAATCACAACTGAAAGCCTCCAGAAAAATGCTTTCAAAAACAAAAAAAAAAAAGCTTCCTCATAAGAGGCATCTTTCACTGAGGTGAACTGTAAAAGTGAACTATATGAAAAAATATTTGTAAAATAGTGCTTCCAAACACTCCTCAAAACCGTAAAAATACTCAAAAAGTTTTTGTTTCTGAAAAACTGGAAGGAAAGAACAGAGATTCCAGTTACAAAAGAGAAATTTTGAACAACACGCAAAAGCACCTATGTCCTCATTTTTGACAACTATTTCAGATTTTTAAGTCAAATACCTTTTTTTTTCCCTGGTTACAAATGAAAATTTTGAAGCTGACAAATTTAACATTAACATCCTACATCAGAAAATATTTGGGGTATTTCCTAATGTTTTCTAAAACCAGAAAAAAACCCATCAAAATCACACTAAATATTCTAAATGTTGTATCACCAAGACTTTAGTTTACAATGATGCCCAATTATACTTTTTCTTTAGTGACATTTTTCAAGAAAATGAAAAATTTATCACAGATTTGCAACAAACACGTTAACAGCAAACTGCAAAACATATCCTGATTTCCCAGCTGCCTTACCTATTGCAGTTTTGGGGTCTTATGTTTACCCCATCAAATGTAAAGACTTGCTTTGATTTTCCTCAAAAATGAGATACTACTATACCTATTTTTACTAAGCATGCTGCTACTACTACTACTAAATTAGAAAGGAAGAGACATAACAGCTTCATACCAAGTTTGAACCAATGGAAGCTGTTACACAGGCCAGTAAAGTTCTGCTGCTTGTCAATTTGGAATAGCATGAGGCTTCCAATGACCTTCCTTGTACCACGAACCCAATTTATGGAGATAAAAATCTCACATCTGTACCTCGACATATTGGGAGGTACATTACAGTGATATAAAAGTTTAATTTTCTCTCCTAAACCATACCTGTTTAAACCAATAAAGAACTAACACCGCTTTTACTCACTCGAGTGGCGTCGGTAGTTATAAAATGTTGTACTGTTTATGCAGAATTCATTTAGAATGCAAGGATGTGACTTACAAATGTCTTTGACTCATTCACATAAATATGCATGCATGCCATTTATAACAGTAGCCTTGATGAGAACACACAGTGTAACTGGCTGCAAGAAACGCTTAAGAGGTTTACATTAAAACAGAATATAGAACGGTGGTTAGAAATCACAGAACAGGTGACACCTTACTCTGATAACCTGGTGATAAAAACTGTAGGGTATGATGTATAGGTTGTGGCGTTACCACTTTGCTATACAGTTTGAACAGTATTCTTCGGATACTGCTCAGTTTTAGCAAGACATAATACCCAAGGCAGACCACATATAAAAATTGTGATTAATCTTAAAAAAAACCCAAAAAAACTGTGATTGCCTCCTAAATTGTTTACTTAAAAACAAAGACGTTAACACTTTTATTTTGTATTATAATGTTTGTAATACAAACCTTCAAAAAGTATAATTACTTCTTGGTTTGACACAAGTAATTTGCTTCAACTATTAAAATACTGCCCTTATTGTAAGACTTATAATTTAGCAAAAAAACCCCTATGAAGTCCTGTAAAGACAAATATAGCCATAAAATCTACGAAGCAAGTTCTATTGCATGACTATGTCCACAGTACTTACAAAAAAAAAATTCTTGTTCACAAATTGCCTGTCTGTGCACCTAATTATATAGGTCCACATCTTCTAAAATCCTCCAGACAAATACAGTTTCAGGTACCGATGAAAGAGGTAAAGAGATTTAAGGTACAGATGTTACCAAATAACATTTCTATTCCATGTAGTACAGAACAATGCCTCGTTGCCTAATGAACTAATGGAATCATTAGGTAATCGACGTATATACATTATATAGGACAATTCCATGTGGCCTTCATTAGTTGCTAAGGCCAAATACAAGACCTTCCACAATATGGCCAGCTGCTGGTGCCAACCAGCTACTTTATAGATACCTTCCACAAACTAAGATAATTATTCCAGAATGTTTCTATCAACATATAATTGCATCCATCCTTTACACTGCCAAATAGGCTCAAGTTGCTATAGCAGTAATTTAAGAACTGTTATAGAGAAGAAAACCAGAATCTATCCCACAGACAACATAGGAAGATAATGTCCAATAGCATGCTGTAAACCAGAATTTCTTAATAGTAGCACACATGTAAAAAGCAGCACTTGTCCACCGACAAAGAACAAAGCAATTAAGACACAAACACATCACTCAGACAACAAAATGGCCTCACCATGCAATACTGCTTTTTTTTAAACAAAGCTAGTGTTTACTTCAGACCTAGAGGTTACTACATTAAAAATCCACATAGAGCAGATGAAAAGGCTGCTTGCTAGCAAAAGGAAAGATTAAGAAAAAAACCTCAGCCTTTTAAAAGCCAGTTGAACTGTTGGATACAACTGAAAATTAAAACTGCCCACCCCCTGCACATGTATTCTTGATGGTCCCCAAAAATATCCATCAACAACTCCTCTGCTAGAACTACGATGCCCAGGAGTCACACTGAAGACTACATTATCATTGCCCACAGTTCCAGTAAAGGGTTTGAAGTGGATGTTGTTTTATCCTGCAATCAATAGGGTTTTTTTTTTTGGTTCAATTACTTTCTAGGGCTCAAGTAGTGGAGAACATAAAGCTGCTGTTTAAGATAACAGAATGTAAAACTGCAGTTTGTGTGTGGCTCAGTATAACAGGGCTTCACCATATCTTTTCTGCTGTTCATGCCATAGGTGCAAGATTCTACAATCTACAAAATAATGCCAAGAAAATGAGGACATACAAACAGAGCAACTGATGTGAGATTGTAAGTCTGTGATGTAAGAATTAAACTTTTTTTTATTATTTAATAATAAATTGGACACGTGGCAAAATTTTGCTTTGTTATTTAATAACAAAAATCCAGTTCGTTATTAAATATCTACCTACGAATGGTAGATGAACCCTCAGTATTAATTAGTAACACAAATTGAAAACATGTATCTTCCTGTAACTTCAGGAAGACTAAACCAGAAATTTTCTCAACCTACTAAAATGCATAGTCATGCCTTTGGACAGACATCAATCCAAGTCTCTGCCAGTTTTAAAAAGGGACAGCTACGTACGAGTTATTCTCTCACATTTCCTAGTACTTTTACCATAGGCAGCCCCCACGACAGCCAGCTACTACAATTTGCATCTGTAACACAATGAAACTTGTTTCAAAGTATTAGAGTAGCATAATTTCCAACTTTTTTTCTTTTTTAACCAAGGGGTAAGCCAGAATTTCCCAGCCAAAGAAAATGTAAATCAAATAAAACCACCATGAAATTGTTACGAGGATGATTCCTATTGAATGATACCTATTAGTGTTAGGTTACCAAGGATTTCCTTTTTGAAGATTTGTATTAGAAAAGTGAAGCTTACCTGCAGAAGCACTGTGGGATCTCTCCTTGACCATAGAGAGGAAACAAAAATGGTGTATTGCCATAGCGGCCAAGGCACTGAAGAAATTTTTTTGTTGCCTGAAGACCTTCAAGAGTGCTGCAATCAGTCTCTGAAACCATTGCAATGGAGTGAAGAATGAAGTGCTGCAAGCTGGGTGTTAATTTCCGTGTACTTAAGAACTGAGCAAAGGTACTGTTCTCGTAGTCTGAAGAAAAAGTAAATTTAGGTAAAGGTATTGTATAGCATTTGTATTTTCCCATATGCTTCAACTTAAACAAGCACTATCATATTTAAATAAACAAAAGCAATTGAGTTTTTCAACAAACACCTTGCTGAAAATGGATAATGCAAGTCAATGAAAGTTAAAAACTTTACTTCCAGAAAGTGAGTTTTCTCAGAAGACAGAAATATCACTCCATTATAATATTTCAGCGTAACACAAACCCATTGTACAGGTCTCCAACAGTCTAGAAAGCAACCTCTAAATATGGCTTCATCCATTCATTATGTTAGACCTGGTCTAAACCCATTTCTTAATCACGGGAAAAAAGGGAGTCACCATGGACAAAAATCCATTGAAGTGTTCTGGGACACTGTTTCCTGTAAGTTACCCAAAATATTGTATCTGAATGACACCCATTCAGGACTAGTACTGCTGAATCCATACTGAGATGGTTAGAGTGCGTATTTATGTACAGAGAAGCCACTCACACAGCGTCTTAATCCAAAGATGAGAAGGTGTGATTCAAATCGATGACTTGCAACAAACAAGTATGGATGAGACACAAAGAAAACAGTGATGAGGAAGCACAACTCCCCTTTAAATGAACACTATTGACAACACACTTTGAAATTCAAAGAAACGTAAGTCTTTCAGGAGACGTTTAATGTCAATGTTGCACGACACTGATATATCCCTGAAAAACTGTAGTTATCTTAATAATTAAATGATTTTTTTTTTCCAGGAAAAGACCGTATTTAAGCAACAGCATACTTTCATACTATTCAGAAATCTGCTCTTAAGCTTATTCCATTCATGGATAAATTAATAGGTAATTTAGAAACACTTCCATCAATGCTGAGACTAGCATTATTAAGTTATATATTCTGTTCAAGATTCAACCACTGTTTTATTACAAATGTATTTTACCAGCCTTTGTAAGGGGTAGCAGCACATCATAAAATGGCAGGGATTTTTTATCGTTTTAAAAAAAATTCTCAAGTTTTTCCTCACTTCAGACTTCTTTCAGAACTCCAAATTTTATGGAAAAAAGCTTTAAAAAATTCTTCACTATCACGAACTCTTCCTATAAAAGTCTGCCTTCCCACAAATGTAATGATCTGACCAAGAGCAATTTTAAATTTTCTGAAGTCTTTATATTTGACTAATCTGACACAAAATATTCCCAATTACTTACCAGGCTATTTTAAAATGTAGGAACAAAATCTGTTTAACTACTCTGGAAGTAAAATAAATTTAATGTCATTTAGGTACATGAATCAGTGGATTCATTTAAAATTGATGTGGCGTCTCCTTTTTTTACTTAATAAATTTTCTAAATATCACCTACATTCTCACTCTGAGCACCTCCATTTCTTCCAGCAGCAGCAAACCTGAAATTGCCTGTAATCTATAAACCACTTCAGTCTAATGAGTTTTTCTCCCTTCAGGATTTTCTGGAGTTCATTATAGACTCTTTCTCCTAATCTTAACACATCACTCCTAATATAGACCAATTCTCTCCCGCATATGTTTAAAATAACTTTCTCTGATGTTTCTACCTAACCTAAGGTTCTTGTTCAAGTAGAAAACCAGTACCTTAACAATTGTTTCATCTTAACACTAGAATCTTTCAAAAATACTGCTTATCCAAGCTACTGTCAAGGTACAAAAGCACTGATATGCCTCAGTCTGAAACTCATGTCAGTAGTTTAACTATTCTTCTTTCCTCATTATTTCTTTTTGACACATTTTTCTTTTTTGCTTTAGATTTTACATTTAGACTCCAAAAACTGAGAACATCACTTCATTCTTTGTACCCTGAGGTGCACAGACCCAAAGCAGAGAGCAGGTTTCCATCACCTTCCTTCTGTTAGCCAATTTTCCTTTTTTACCTGATGTTCATTAATCTTTGCATATTATGGCTCAAATCTATTCACATTTTCTCTCTTCTAAATAAGACATCAGTTTAAAAAAGGCCCTTTGAACTTGCCCTCTGCAACTAAAACACATTAAATTACATTTACTTTCAAATTTAAAAAAATCCATTTTCTCCATTTCTGATATTGTGGTATCATATTGTGAAGATTTACGTATTACCCCCAAAAAATAGAACCGAAAAATCAGGTATATCACACCATATTAAAAAATCCCTGGCAGGGGGGAAGAAAACAACTAAAAATTATAAAAAACATTTTGCAGCCTTGCTGTAATAAATAATTTTGCTGTTAAGAAAACTGTAAATAATAAATGATGTGGGAACTAGAAGAGCAAGTGCTTAAGTAGAAGAATTTAACATTGAAGTTAAAAGGTCATGAAAAGGTCAAAGCATACTTTGAAAATGAATCCATAAAAATAAATTGCGTGAAAACACAGGAGAGGTATCAAAATTGTGCATAACTGAATGAACTCATAAGAAGAGAGTGTACACTGTTCAATGAAACACTACCTTGGTATTCATCAGGGTGTTGTTCATAGTCCAAACAAAATGTCAAAAATTTCATTAGCATTCTCTTTTCCACCATAGTGAGCTGTCTGCTGTTGAAGACATCTGCTCTAGAACAAGGTACCTGGAAAATATTTTTTAATAGTTTCAGATACTTTCCATACTCTAGATATGAAAAGCATCAAGCAACACTATAGTCTGACTACCTAACAAATATTTTAAATTACTACTTTCTATTACAGTTATTTTTTTATAAATTTATTTCCATTATTTTCTATTACAACTATATTTAAAGTTACCAATTCTCCACAATACAAATACTTTAATATCTTTTTCAGCCTCTTCCCCTTTTTATTTCCCTTAATTTCACTTGCATTTCTGACTGCTACGTTAATCAAAAGAGTTTGTATTAATTAACTGTGTCAAAATCTCATGTTGCCATTATATCACACGAACAACTTCTCTGTTACTTATGAGTCTCTGTTAGGAATTTGAAAACCTAAAACCTGTGAATCTTTACGAATTAGCTGCCAAGTCGGTCACAGTCTAAATACTTGACATGAGGCAAAGATTTATGTCAATAGTTTACTGCACTACACATTGTTAGGTTTTGGTTTGGTTTTTTTTAAATATATATTTATATATATTTTAAAATAAATATATAAATAATTTATATATTATTTATAGGAGACATACAAACTCCTTTTCATCCCAGAAATGAAATAAAAAATCAGAATCTCAAGGAAAATACTTTTCTTCAAGTTTACTGTTACAAAACTCTCAAGAAACCGATTTCAAGTTTCTTGACTTTAAAAAGATAAGAATAAACTTGTGCAATACATTATTTTACGATACCTGCTCTACTTTTCCATCTCGAAAGGCAAGAATTCGTGTCGCATTTTTAAACTCTGCGTATCGGCTAACGTTTGACTTAATCAGAAGGTCAATTAACAGACCTCGGGAGTAAAGCAACTGCAGCGAAGGAAAAAAACCAGGGTGAGCAAAGAGAAAGTGCTTACATCAAAAGGTAACAGTGATACCAAAAGTACCCATTTTTAAGGTGTTTTTCATAAGTATTTACCAGTTCACACAGTGAAGTAAAACCTGAATAAAACAATATCAAGATGCAGTTGGAGCAAAATAATATTAAATGAACTGAAGCAACCACGCAGATGGAGGAGACAAAGCAGTCCACAGGAGAGAAAGGGAGAAGCTGTCAGGCTACTGCTCATTTAGTTTTATTAGTCTGGCAGTCACAGCTTGAGACAATTTTTTGTATTGTCATCTTGGATAATTTCTGTGTATGGTATGCTATATATCCTTGAACACTGTATTTTATAACCTTCATTTCCTAATATCAGTGAAGTACATGACGCTGTCTGTGTAAATCATCTCCAGTTGTTTCTTAAATTACCCGAAATGATAAGGTCCCATTTTCTAAATGTAAATTCCTAAACCCCCAGTTAAGGTTTAGTCATATTCTGTTATATTAATTTATAATCTCTCTACCTTTACTCTTTCTATGAGGTGCAAATACATTACAAAATACTTAAGGGACAGAAATGTAGCTATTAACAGAAGACATATGTCTGAATTGAAAAGCATTGGAGATTAGTTTAAACATGCTTCAAGTCTTGTGGCCCTGAGTAACAAAATTTGCATGGTCACACAGGACTTTCCAAGATAAAGGTTTACTGGACACTAGCTAGGACACTACGAGAAAGTCAGTGTCCCAGTGCCAGAAAGAAACCAACATAAACTTGCCCTGATGACTACTCTCCTGCCAGAATTTCTAGAATTCATTGCAACAAACACCATGTAACACAGTGGCACAGAAAAAGTATTAAAAAGGGTACAAAATAGTATTATCTGATTAACCACCATACACTGATTATTGTTTGCATTATGTCATTCCAATGATGCATGAAAGCGGTATCTACATTTGGAACACAGAGCCAAAATTTCAAATAATGCATTTTGTAGTGTCTCCACAAAGAATTCAATACATTCTTGAAGGTTTTTTTTCCCCAGTTTCCAGAGGTTTGAAAAATCTTCTCATGCAAAATACAAAAAATTAAGCATTCAACTTTTGAAAAACTTCCCTTTGCAGAATGCATAGTTTAAAGCACAGTAGTTAAGAAAAACTTCCATTTAACTTGAATTTGCAGGGCCATATCCATATACTGTGAAGCACATAAAGGAGAGATTTTAGAGTTTAAATGGTATGACAAATATGTCAGACCAATAGTTTCTCCTCTAAGTAAAACACACACCAGTAAGAATTCAACACAATAATGACTAACTTTACAGTTATTCCATAACATACAAGCTGACTAATTATTTTTTCTTTCCAATAAAATTTATTCCAGTTCAGTGCTTTGGTTGCCAGAGAACCAAAACCAGTACAGAGAGATAAGGAGAGTTTCAACTAGGAAAATCTAAAACCTAGGAAGTACTCTAATAGAAAATTATTTTTCATTTTAAAAACATCTAAGATCTGCATATAGATTGATTTTATGTGTTTGAAAAAAAATATATTTTTAATGGTACTATTTGAAAAGAGCAAAGTATGACTTAAATGCTAAATTTCAGGAAATTTATTTTTATGGACATATTTCTGAGCTATGCTTTATGGTCTCTTTAGCTATAAACAAACGCTAAAGAGCACGTACGAAATAGCTCATTTGTTTCAACGGCAGCAATTCTTGCTTACTTCTCATGAGAGTCTTTTTTGTCTCACAGGTACAGTATCAGCCCTCCTCAACATTAAAGACTTTTTTAAAAATTCAGCATTTTAAGCGAAGTACTGATATGAAAAGAGTCACTTAGTTCCTACCTTGGAAACTAAATCAATATTAAACCTTCTGCCTTCTCTGACAATTTGGCAATATGTAACTTTCTTTGGTTCTTGAGCAGGAATTTCCGAGGGTGCGGCTTCAGTTTTTCCCAATTCCAGAGAGGACTCGTCTAGAGCCGTATTTTGAGAACTGTCATTCTCAGAGGTTACTTCTGCATCATTCCCTTCCGTTGCACTTGCTGGCTCAGAGCCTCCAGCCTCCTCTGCCCCCAGGAAGGCCCCCTCCGCTGGGGGACACTCTTTTTCCAACGCCTGAGCAGCCCCCTCAGCACCAGAAGCTCCAAAGACAGGCAGCTTTGGCAAGGCACCAGCTTCTTCAACATCTTCAGCAGAATCCTGACTGATTAAAAACACAAGGGGAAGAAGTGCAGGGAGAAAAGGTCTTTTAAACAGTCTTAAACACTTATTTAAAGTTTTGAGTCGGTGCCAGAATGTGAACCTCAAGCATTTCTATGAAAAGCGTTAGAATTTCTTTATGCTGGCCAAATCAGGTATACCACCCACTAAAGAATACTTGTTCTTTGACTGCAAAGATATAATTCATGAGGAGTACTTTTGCTGAGGCAAAAGAATAAACAACCCAAAATTGGGGATCTTACTTTACATGGACACAGGAGGGGGAATGAGCTTAAAATGAAAATCAAAGTTCTCATGGTGAAACACCATACACAGCTACATAAACAAAAGAAATACAAAAAAAAAAAAGAAACAGTAAAGCAATTTGATTAGGTTTTTCCTATGGATTAAAAACCCCTTTGAAATTGAAATGCAAAACTGTATTAAAGTCATTAAGCGTAGGTATTTTAAAAAACAAACACACTGAAGAAAACCAAAGTGCTTTATACGACCAGGACTACTTTGCACCTACTGTTATAGCAAGTCTTTAAGAGATGCAGGCAATTTTGACCTGAAGCTTAAGTAAAACTCTGAGATTACTTTGTCAACTCTGACCTTGCATTCTAATTAGTTGTTCCAGTAACAGCCAGACAGACCAAAGTTCCCCCATGTAGCAATGGTATTTTTATGCAATTTTACAAATTTGTGCACAGTAGATGAAGGCAGCCAGGGAAAAGCCGGGACGTTACCACACAGCATTTACTCTGTACAGTCCATTTCCTTTTCACAACACAATTCTTTAAAATTCCTCTTATAAAGCAGACCTCCACTTTTAATCTCATATATTCTTTTTATCTTGAACTTCAATGACATCCACCTTAGAAACTACTACTTTTGAACTTAGAATTTTAGTTTATACTACCAGCTGAGATGAATCAAATCAATGTCATTGTAAGTGAAGGGAGTTCAGCGATAATTTCACGCTATCTTTTTATCTTTATACCACAAGCCATTAATGCACTGAATAAACAATTTAATCTTGGCTGAAAACTAATGAACTATGATTTTAAAGGTGACCTGCAAACATACAGAACAAAATTTCAATAACTAACAGGATGGTTAAAATTCAGTGAATGGCACGGAATTACTCAGTAACATATAAAAATGCTCCCTCACACATCTGTAGCCTTACAGAGGGAAGCAGGGGGCAGGGTTTCTGTTCCAAGAGGGAACAAAACCTCTGTATCCTTTAAAAGTTGCTCCTCACTTAAAAGCTTGGGGAGCTCACATGGGCTTCTAAAAATAAGAGTTTGGAATAACTCTCTTAGCTTGTGCACAGCCACCAGGAAGCACTTATTCATGAAGGGGGTAAAATATTGCCCTGGGAAATACAGGGACTGCTAGAAGGAAGCACTAATGAAATAAGTCTGTTTCTGTACATTAATTATGTCTTTTTTCTTCATATTGGAAGGATTAAATAACTATAAAATATCAAAGAAAGATAAGTATTTTTTCAAACATTTTTTAAAAAGTAATCTCTATTAAAAACACAAATGAAAGTCAATTAGATTTTGGGATTCTGTTTGGATTTTTGTTTTGGGGTGGGTTTTTTTAGAATTTGGAACACGGTATTTGTGAAAACTGCAAAAGCTGTTGCCATTTATGCAATAACTAAGAATGGACCTTTTCTTTGACCTATCCTAAACCTTTTTATAACACAAAAATTCAGAGACAAGTTTTCTTTCTACCTTCTCCCAAGCTCAATCTCATTTTAAATATACTTTATTATTACTTTCTAAAATAAAAATAAAATTTGGATTCCCAATATATTGTCCTTCTTCTATATCACTCTGAAAAGCAGTGTAACAGTAATGTTATATTTACATATTTTAAATCTCTGTTCAATTCCCATTAATGAATACGTAAATCTGCACGATATGCAGCTCTACACATTTTATAATGAAAGCCTAAAAACTGTATATAATCTAAATTCATGACATCCTTCCTATAGGAACAAATGTTCCTGAATAATGTAAGAACTGTCTATAAAAATCACTCAAATTGAACTTTTGTACAGACAATTCTTCTCCTAATTCAGAAAAAAATAATACATCTGCAGACAAATTGTTGTGTAAATTTAGAATATTATCTTCTACCATTCATCAATTAATGGTACTAACAAAGGAATATCTTAAAATGGATGTGTCTTATTAATGCCTTGTAACAGCAACCCCTTCAGATAGGTCAAATGAAAAATTGCCAACCAGCTGGTTAATTTATTCAGCACAGGTGTTCACTATTTATTTTTCAGCCATTTGCCTTTTTTCAATACAGCTTGTTGTAGACACAGTATTCTTTCCCTTTGATGGATGCACTTTGTTCTAAGGCCATTCATTTAAGATTTGCACTGTGTATATTATACTGCTACCCAGCTGTTTATTCTTTCAAAATAAATGTTTAATGGTTACTTCATAGGAGTTATAAAGTTGAGCAAAAACAACAGAATCTAGGCAGAAAGTGTAAATTGTCAGAAACACAATAATTGAATCTCTCATAAAGTTTTAAGTTATTTTGGAAAACTTTTTCTTTCCTAGGTTTATTAATCTTGCCAATCTTGCTTGTGGGATTTGGGGTGGTTTTTCTGGTGATAATCAAGACAATTCTATTGCAAGGCTAAGTCAAATGCTTAAAAGTAGAATCTTCGATTCTATTTGTCCTGACTCAAGTATAATGCTCACTTCTACAAAGTGTGACATCTAGCGCTGGCCATGAGCTGGCCATCAGTCAATATCACATCTGCTTAGGAAAATCATACAAGGGGTTCATAACTATCCCAAAGAACCTTTCAGGAATTCAGAACAGCATTCAGTTCAGTGCAAAATCCAAAAGACTATATCATACTTCCTTATAAAAATCTAAACAAAATATGTGTATTCTTAACCTCTGCTAATGCAGACATACCTCTACGAATACCTAACTAAAAGATATTTATCACATACTCAGTCCTAAGATGGTATACTATTGGTCATCTGCTTCTGCAACAATATTCACAAAAGTAAATATGTATACTTCAAACTAAGCAGGTATTTTCTGCAGGTTCTATGTAAAGTAAGAGCTGAGTTACCTTACTTCAAAAACAGAAGGAGAGTGACAGCCCCAAAAGGCTAACTGTTAGCATATTACCAGGAGCCCTTGACCATGCAATTCCTTCTAAAGCATCATGAGTATGCACTGTTTAATGAGTAAGTTAGATCCACTGAATATAAAAAATGACAAAGGGGAAAGATTACTTTATCATTTTTGCACAATTAAGTATTTTATAATTACAGTACTACTGTCCATTCGTGTTCACATACTAGTGTACTTATTTCATTTTACATGTACTTATGAGTTTAACTTTTTATTATGAGAAAAGCTGCTGTTTGCCAAATCAAGAATGGAAAAATTTAATAGATGGTAGTGCATAACTATCTGCTACTAATAATACCTACAAATACAACACTTCCATCTTCTATTCAGAAGTAAATTACCAACTCACAAAGTTGGCCAACAAATCACATTGCATCCAGACAAGGTTGTTTAAGAAGAACAAGTTAACTTCAACAAAGTCCAAGTGATTTCAACAAAAGCACTTAGAGCACTGTTTCAGAGCTCACGGATACATTTTACACAACATGCAATATGGTAGCGTGGTGAAATGCTTGAGGCCAAAAGCATATGATTATTTATCTCTGGGCACATAAAATCATTTGTATATTTCTATATTAATACTTACTCGCCAAAACAGAAATCTTCTACATATTGAATAGTTTTATCTTTCTTGCTAAGAGAAATAACTTCTTCATTCTCAAGGATCAGTTTTCTCCAGTCTTCACATTCATCGATATCTGTCTTTTGCTTACAAGGAACAATTATAAAATTACATTTTGTACTGTGCCAGCTGCTCTTGAACTATACATCTCTACAGTCCCAAATGATTTGTTGTACCATCTTATATTAAAAAAAAAAAAGAATCATCTTAACTGTCTTAATGGCTTTTCTATTCAGATTTTTTGAGTTAAAATAGTTAGTACTGGTTCCTTTATTATAGCATGCCAACATGTGCACTACATTACTACCTCTAGTAACTGAAAATACAGTGTTAAATGAAATACAAGTTTTAGTATAGAGTTGATTTTAACTTTGAATACAATCTACCAAATGACAGATTTGCCACAGCCAAGTTAGTTCCAAATTTTGTGCCAAAACGCTTTGCACAGAGACCACATGAAAAAATAAACTGATTTGGGTATTATATTAATCTGTCTACATAGGAATCTCTAAATCATATAACAGAACCCTGACAATACTGAGTTCTGACATTGAGCAACTCAACTGATTATGCCAGAAGGTAGCACTATGTAATAAATAGGCATGAGACTGAACTGACAAAGTTCCATCTTCTACGGACCAACAAGCTCATAATGCTTCCGTAAATAATATGAACATCCGTTTGCTAATATAGTCCAAGTACTCAATCTCTTAAATAAATATCCTCTTCAGAAGATTTCTAGTGGACTGTTGTGAATTAATTAAACTTTGGCCATTGAAAAATACACTATCAACATTAATCTTTTTGTCCTGGTTACAGAACATTCCAATGAAAAGATCTAATAACTACCTTTCTCACAGTTAAGAAGAATCAGCTGAAAGCATGCAAGAAGAACAAAAGGGACCAAAACATCAGAGAGTAGAAAATAATCAAACATGAAATGGAGAAAATCAGGGTATCATTTACAGAAGATGCTGGGAAAGGAATTGAAACAGTAGTGTAGTTGCTTCTACATAAATTCAAGAACCCCAAAAGTGTGACTGAGCACTAGACCATTTGCTCTCGGATTATAATGTTAATAAACGAGGCATATCAGAGTCCTAGAATGCTAGGCCAGATGGATAAAGCTTAACTAGTAAAGTTGGAAAGTAGAAAGCTCTTTGATCTGTCAAATCACCAAAGAGAAAGAGCATTGTGATAATTTGTCTTGTAATAAATTATGCAAACAACCAAGACTTAATGCTTAAGAACATTAAAAGAAGCAATTTTGGAAATATTTACCTGATTTTCTTTAATCCAGGACAATAATCCTGAAAAACTGAAGCTGGCCCAGTTTCCACCATAGTAATTTCTCCTGCAAAGAAAAAGCAACAACGAAACTTGGTGGACAGATAACACATAGCCTTTTCAGGTTTAAAGAAAACAAAACCAAGTTTGAGACATTCAGAATATTTTCCACGAGAGATTTTACAGAGGCAGAATATAAAAACTGGTGTAATATTTCACAATTCTTAATGACATGCAAAACTTCCATTTTCAATCATTTGTATGCATCTCTGACCTATAGTCCAAAATCAAACCATTTGGAGGATAAAATCAATAACGCTGGGAAAAGCACATGGGATGCTGTGAGTAAAAGGAAAACACAGATCATGTTGCTTTTTGGCCAAACACGCATGACTATAGACATCTTCACTTAGTGTGGAGCAAAGCCAACAAGTCTGCCAGTTTCAACTGAGTTTTCATAAAAGCCAGTTTTTTGCATCCATACCACACTCCACAGTTTCAGGTTCTGGCAGGAACCTAAAATCTTTGTCACATGAGCACAACTATACTGCTTCTGACTGAAGCTGATGTGGAAGTTAACATAATTGCATTGCATGCCATGTCTAAACTACCAGTGCTTCATGAGGTGGATATGCAAGGGAGGGTTAAGTAAACTGAAACTGGGTCCAGACAGTAGAAATCACATCTCTCTTATCGATTATGTCAAATGAAGGAAAGTTCACTCTATTGTTTATCTGCTGATTACAAAACAGATTGTGCTTATTATAGACTGTTAAGATGCTCTGGAAAAATGATTATTAAACTGCATATACTGTAGGTGGAGCCAAAGGAACTGATTTGTACAAAATGATCATAACTCTATGAGTACTCTTCAGTTTATATTTACCACCTTCTGCCCTGAAAATATTATTTTACATTTTTTATATCACAGAAAATTAACAGTTCTGCAGTTGATCAAAGACAGCCTCTACCATCCCTTTTGTAAAATTTTCTATCAACATTTTTCTAAACATCAGTTGAATTAACTAGCTTTTGTTATCATGCATACTACATCTTAAATATTTAAACAACTCTGAAGGGAAAAATAATACAGCAATAATATTTTTTTAAAAAATCACTAGATCTTGCAAAATAAAGTTATTTGAGGATTTCACTCTGTTTTCTGGCACTGTATGCTGGCACTTCAGAAAGATAGCAAAAAAATACCCTCCTGAATGGACACCTAATATTATTGCATACTCAAAAAAAAACCATTTAGGGAGGATGATGGGTTTTGCACTTCACTGAATAATGTGAAGACTGCTAAATCAACTGAACTTATCATAACATCCTTCACTTTTAAATTGTAGAGATAAGTGTGATAACAGTGAAAAATTAAATTCAGGTTTGATTCTACTGTTTAAGATGGGCTGGTTTTGACAAGGCTTATCTGCACTGACAAAGACTTCATTAGGAGTGTCAGCTCCTTTAGGTACCAGAGGGTGATGCTCCAGCCCATGTTGCTTACTTAGCATATGAAGGACAGATGTCTGCTAAACAATGTCTAATTGCTCCTGACTAGAAACTGACCTAAAAAAGTCTTTCAGCTACTTCAAGGCAATAGCAAAGAACATAAATAGGACATCTTTTGCAAAGACAACAAAATCCAGCATTCACTGAATAAAGGTGGCTTCAACAACATGACATGGTATTTAAGGCTGTGGACTGGGTCTATACTTCAGAAGAACCCACACAGTCTACCCTGCAATTTGGTTACTCTAAGCAGAAGATCTGCAGACCTGTTACCAACCAGAAACTCCAATCAGCTATAAAAAGGAGTTCATACTTACCTCATTATATGAATGATACTGATGAGGCTGAAAAAGTACTACTATTTGGTACCATATAGGATACAAAGCTATGAGAATTAAATATATTAAATGCCTGATTTTGTCAAATTTCAATCTGTAAAACAGTAACTGATACTTGCATGCAATGATAATCTCCAGCTCTGTTTTAGCTGTCAATGGTGCAGGTTAATTTCTTGCATCTTCTTAAAATTTCACTGAATAAAAATTTCGATATTCATATATTATCTACCACCTCTGGGATTTCCAAAAAACACAGCCATGAAGATTTATTTTTAAGGGAATCTGCTGCTTAGTTCCAAGTTTCCTTGAATATGGAATACAATCTGGGCTGTCAGAGCAAGCAAGGCCATTGATCACAGAAATCACAGAAAACACCTGCCTAAAATTAGGACTGCGTTTCTTGACTCTATACCAATATAAATTCATGCATATTTAGAATATTTATAATTAAAACTTTCAGTAAGAGAAATTAGTATGCTATTTTCACAGAAAGTTACAAAAGTTTATTTGTGAGCTGTCAGACATCTTTGATGCATACATTCCTCTGTTCATCGGGTAGATTTTCCTTCGAAACGGCTTTTCTTTTTAACCACCAAAGATGTGAAACAATCTTTTCAACAAAGCAGTCTATAATGCTGTCCTGAAGCTCAATCAGTTTTGAGAAGACAGTACGGCCTTTCTGAAATGGAAAATGAATCGCAGCTGTCCTTCCTCTCCTCTAGCATCTGAGCACCTTTCCCAAGTTATGCTACACCACCACAGCATCAACTTCCAGATATTTTTTTGCCCAGATTTTTTAATTAGTTTACCCTGCATTACATGATGAATCAGGATTGTGTAATTTTCTCATATGAAAACATTACAGAAGGAAGGTAGACCAGACATGATTACTAATGTTATGAGCAAAGTTTTTTGTAAAATCTTGAAGAGGAATTCTGGAAAGAGCTGACTAATGGTTTTACAAATAGGAGACCTCTGTAACCAAATATTTCTGTTATAATTGCCCTGAAAATGAACCGAGGAATTCCTTAAAATAATGGTCAAGATCAAAGCCTAATTAAAGCTAAAATATTGTCCCAAAGTCTCAAGGACTAAGCTCCTCTCTTCTCTTGCTATATTAGCAAATTTTAAAGATGGATATTCTCTCCCTTTTTCAGGGTTATAATTCAATTATCCTCTAAGTAAGGACATGAAACATTTTGATAGTATAACAGCAGTTAAAAATTAATTTTTCTACAGAGTTAGTTAAAGCACAGATGTTTTGTTTTTCTACCATACATTATTACATTATTCCCTAGATGATATTTGCTCAAAACTTCTCCTGTATTGTCGGGATTTTCATATGAATTAAAATACTACTGCTTTTAGTTCACATTTTTCAAATCTCAAACCTGTAACAGCAGAACTGCTAAAGACATTTTTGCAAAGTTTTGGAAATGTAGCCTGAGTAGAGTTTTACCTCTGCAAAAAGCTTAATTCTCTTTTCTCCAACATTAGTTTAGGATTATTTTTCTCAGTCACTAACACAATTTTTTTCTTCAGACTCTTTCAAAGTATTAGCAAATCTCAGTCCAGAACACTGAAATTGCAAATTGTTTCCAACTAATTAACATTCTTGGAATCTGAACCAAGAGAATATCTAACATCCTTTTGAAGACAGACTGCAATCTGAGAGACTGAACACTTTTGAAAAAGCACGAGATAAACAAGGAAAACATAAGTAAGAACAGAAAAAGTATTTAATGGACTATGGCTGTTACGAAGACTGCCCTTCGCAGTACCATGTCCTAACAGAGTAACAGTCAAAGCTGGGGATGTCTGAAGAAAAGCTGCTGATGCCTCGTGATTGCTCCCAAGAGCTGCCTGTGCATCTCTGTCCTGTATTTGATCTTTCAGAAAGAAGTCTCGAACCATCAGAGTAGCTGTCTTTTGCAAAGGAAGTTACTGCCACATCGATTTTAAGGATCTGAACACAAAATGACTTATGTTTCAAACCCACAAAGTTTCATGTGCTACCTATTAAGTACACAGTCACCTGTATTAAAAATTCGCATTCTGACACAGTAATTGTGTTTTGGAGCATGAGAAGTGGACTAAGCTTTCTTGTCTTCCAAGATGAAGGGTTTAACCCAAACAGCTCTTGAGATCCTTCAGCTCAATAAAACGGTGATGGTGGCAGTCATTTGTCCTACATTATATTATCTCCTGGGATATTAACATAACCAAAGGTAAACATCATGGACCAGCTGAGACCATGTTTTACTCTCTAATACCTTTGCTATGAGATCAAATCCTGGAAGAAAATAAAAATAAAACCAACATTTTCAAAAAAAGTCAAGACACCAGAATTAAGAATTTTTTCCTATGTTTCCTTACTGAAAGTTTAATAATTCCTCTATTTTTCTTGCAAAAAATTGACCTTCTTTGAGAAGCAACCTTTTCCCTCTCTGGTTGCTGTACTCACACAGCTACCTCACTCCACAGAGGTTAAAGATCAAAAAGACGGCTATATGAAAACATGGGTCATATTACATTACATATTTTACAATTTTTGAACAAAGTGAGACAGATTGTCTAGCAAGAAGTGGAACAAATTACAAACGCAGGTACCATGGTGTCGGGGGTACAGGAAGGGTGCCCAGTGTGCTTTTGGACGCTCAAATAAAACAGAATTTTGGACACAAGGAACACTCCAGTACTCTGCATGCAAAGTACAGTCAAAACAAAAGAAAGGGAACAGGTGTCAAGAAGCAGGAAATGAGAAGCAGACAGAGCAAGCTGGGCACAGAAGAGGAGTTAAAATCCTGCATCTTGACACTCCTTTGCCTTTGAATTAAACTCCATATGGAAAGACAAATATTTCCATGAGGAAGGATGTAGACAATAAAACTATAGTCTACAAATGCTATATTCTAGATGCTGCAAGTCAAGTACAAAATGTAGCTAAACATACCTCACCTCTTAATTGCCCCATCCTCAGTAACCAAACAAGTACATAACTTATAAAAAGATAATAAGCAAAGGAACAAAACCAGAAAACAACAGGAGCCATCAGGAGAAAGCCCTATGCATATGAACAATTACTTTGAGAAGTATATTCACTTCAAATAACCAACTTTTAGTATTGATCTACCTTTCTTCAGAAACTTCAAATTTAAACTAAGTGCCAATCTCCACATTTTAAATTGCAAATTACTTTTCTAAATCACTTAACAAATATCCTTGAAATTTCACATGTCAACAGCTCATTAATATCTACAGTAAATGCAGCTCTCTGAAAAGAACCACAGATTTTACATTTATTGAGACAGATAACTGGCACATAGAAATAGAGCTCCTTCAATTACTATTTGGCAGAAGCTAACTTTAGTTTAAAATCCGTCTAGAGGAATTTATGGCAACACTGCAGTGCAGTGACTATTTTGAATAAGATTAGCTACTGTTGATGGTGATGCTTGGACAGTGTTTATAAATCAAACTTAGAAGTTAGTATTTTATAATAGGCCACTTCAAAACTATCTTCCATAATCACCTATGCAGTATATTATGATAAATGCAAACATTGCTGGAGATTAAAAGTAATAAAATGATGTACACAAGGTAACGAGTGCAAGCAAACTGTAAACAAAGACTTTATCCATATACATTTTCTATATCCTGTGCATAACTTAACTCAGAGCTTTGTAGAGAACAAAAGATTAATCAAAATAGCACACATAACACAAACAAGCATTTCAGTAAACACAAATCTTATTTTCTTATAATCTGAAAAAAACAAACTCATGATCCTTCAAGAAGGGAACAACATATCTTGTTAAAAAGTGATATTCTGAATAAAACCAGATTTTTCTGTTGATGAATTTTCAATTATACTGTTACCTCAGTAAAATGAAATTTGAAAATTCACCTAAAAATTAGTATATTAAGCTAGACATATAGTAAATAAAATTAAAATATTTTAATTCAGATGAATCTCTGGCAAGGTTTCCAGACTTAACTTTTCACTTAAAATTCAAATGGCATCATGGTGGGGGGTTTCCTGTTGGTTTTGGTAGGCTTGTTTTGCAAGAGTATTAACTTAAACATGAAAAGCAGATGGCTTGAAACACTTCCCTATTTATGGGGAAGGGGTTGTATAGTATAAACTTTTCTTTTTTTTTTTTTTTTTTTTGGTATTTCTCCAGAGGACGAACTTTTAACATAAAGTTTGCTTCACTTCCTGATTCAAAGGAAACAAGTTTATTTACTATTTTTGAATGGACACTCTTAAAAATACATTTATCTTTGCAGCAACCTCAGCACAAAGTTGTTTGTGTCAGCAAACAGAAAAACAAACAAACAAGAAAACCTCCCAAGAGTAAGTTAAACCTTGAATCACTGTTCAAAAATAAGCCATAAAAGGGCTCTATTATAAATTTTTTTTTTTTTTTTTTTTTTTTTTTGCAAGATATGGATTCTAGACCATGATTTAGTGAGCACATACACCAATTAAAATGGCAGCTATTAATATGAGTGAATAACACCTTGGTTAAGAACACCTTTCCCTGACTTTAGCCTGCACTAGAATTAGAAAATAACTCCATAGGAAAAAAGAATCAAATGTTGAAGCATTCATTTTCATCATAAAAACAAAAGCATGTGTGAATGTAAATGAGCATATTTAAGGGAAAACAGTAATAAACAAAATCTGTATTCCACAGTTCTAATTGCCTGCTACTGTGAGTTTTCTGAAAGGCTCTTCAGCACAGCTAAAAATAGGCATGGATAGAAAAAACAAACATCAAAGTTCCACTGGCTAACTATTATTACAGATAAGGTTTTTAATATTTGGTTAGCAATCTAATAGCTAATTTAAGAATTATTGTACCAAAATGTTTGAAATTAACATGTCCTTACACATTATGCATGAGGTCTTTATAGTAACTTCAGTATCACTACCATGTAGCTGCATATTTCTTTAAGTTTATTACAATCTTAAGAGCTGTCTTTGTTTCAATTGTATCATTAGTTACATTACATATGGAGCATCAAGTACTGCCTTGCTGTGTACTATCCCATTGTGAACTGCATTACTACAATATTTGCCCATTTAAGGACTTTCTTCCTTACAGTTTCGAGGTATTTTCCATAGGTTCTGAGAGTAGTGCCTCAAGATTAAATAGGATGAGTTCTTAATCCAACTGACTCTGAAGCGTATCCCCTGTCCTCACACCACAACCCAGAAACTTTGTGGGCAGTGTAACAGCAAACTGAGCAACTGCAAACCATGTTTCATGCAACCAAGTGAGCTAGTCTTGAAAATTTTGAAATTGCGTATGATTTCAAATTAGAAATCAATGCATGAAAAATCAATGGGTCCTTTGAAGGGCTGTAGACAAAAAAGATTAAAAATGTTTAATCTTGAACCAATGTTGTTCAGAAAAAATGAGCAACAGAAAGCATATCCTTTTTAAGGTCTTGGTGCAAGACACAAGAAAAACTGATAACATATAGTGTGTCTGGGAAAAGTCTCTAAACCCTGGTGCTGGATACTCAGGTGCACATCACAGGAATTTTCATAGAAAGGCAAGAGCTCTAAAAACACAATGTAAAAGTAAAACACTATGCCAACTCTGTCGTTTTTGGCGAACAAGTACTAACAATCAGAACATCCAAGCTCATAGCACGGTTGCTGCTACCACCACTTCAAACCCTCCTGCCACACTTCTCTGCCAAAATCCAGCAGATACCAGCTCGAGAAAAGGTAACAGGCTGCCTGAAACTAGTCTCCACATAGACTTTTACTGGTTATTATCAGTTGTGATTTTACTGTTAAAATACGTAAGATATTAGCCCACACACAGGTCAGATTAAATTTTACCAAACTATCCACTTTGGTTGCATGCATAAGTCATTACCACAGCTGAAATCTGTTTCACCCTAAAAAATTATTATGCATTTTATCCTATTTAGCAGCAGCTGCTTAGGTAGCCCCTGCTTATGACCCTCTCCCAAAACTGTATTAGACCAGCAAATTGCATAAGTGCACTAACAACGTGATGAAAAAGTAGCAACAAGACAGGAGCCAGCAGCCAGCAAAAATCAACATCAGTGGCAATGCTGACAAGAAAAAATAGAACAAACAAAAAAAGTATCTGTATAATCATACCTTGGTCTCACTTAACGAACTACAGCAGGCAAAGGGTAGGTATCCAGCACAGAAATCTCACAAAATATATTGCATTTGTTATCTTCTAGAAAAACACAGACAGTAAAGCAGCCTCAAAAGCTGCTTAGTAACGATCGATCATCTCAGAAGAGTTATGAGAAAATTAGAGTTTTAAAGTGCTAGATGGCAGAAGGTGGTATTTTAAGAGTTTGTCTTGGTCAGCTGAGGCTCCAGCATTTGATCTCAAGCTTCCCTCAGAAACCAGAGCTCTAGACTTGAGTCACGCTACTAAATTTTGCTGAGCAGGTGTACAAATAAGCCAAGGTTCAAAGTTCCTACATTCTTCTAAAAAACAGCGTGCATCATAGTGTATAGTCATAGTTTATTAAAAAAAAATTAACTTTGGCTAATTGGTAAAGAGAAGTAAAATTAAATGTAATCTCTTAAAAGGTTGCAAAGAAATATGCCACTCCTAGTGCTTGAGCAAATCCTTCTATTTCAAAGTGCAACAGAAGTACTTTTTGAATCAACTGATTTCAATGATTCTGTACTCTTCTTACAAACTGGTTTAGCACAGGATAGAGACAAGACAGCACAGTCCTGTGTTCATCTCCTGCCTTATCAGCCAGATTTCACTCGTCTTCATTCTGACAACAATTACAACGCAAAAATACTTGTATTAACTTCTCTAGGCATTGAGAACTGATACAAATAAGATACTAGTAAAACATTTTGTCATAAAATGATAATGGCCCAGGGAAAAATTCCCACAAAAACAGAATGGGATACTTACTGTCAGGAATGATAATGAAGGGCACTAAATCTGTAATGACTCTTGTCTGTATGGAAGAAGGAGCCATCAACAGCATCCTTGACCACATCACTTATGTTCCAAATAACTGAGCTAGCATGCAAAAATTGCCTGCTCTATTGATGGAAACAACACACCAAAAATAAGTTAGAGACAGAAGCGTAAGATCACTTGATGCCAGATGAACACAAAACAGAAGTGCTGAAGGGCACACTGACATAGACACAGATACAGCTCTAGCCAGTTTAACTCTTAAAAAGGAAAATTATTGGCGTAACTTACGAATCAACATGGAGAACTCTCTGGCCACTTCTGGCACATGCCGCTGCAATAATAGATTCAGGCAAACCTGAAAGAACACATAAAATTTTTAGAACTTAGTATGCCAAGATATATTAAAAAATTAACTAAAGTTAGAACTTGCCAGAAACAGGCAGGTTAAACAGAAGAACGATTACAATGTGAGTCACTGAAATTTTTAACACTCCCATGATACTAAAATCATGAACACTAATTTGTGTTCATTAATATTTTGTTACAACCCTCCTGAATGCAACTTTTTTTTTCTTAGTAATTGTACAGCACGTATCACTCGCAAACCCTACCACATCTGAGTTAAAGCTTGTCACCAATGTCTTCTCTAGACACCTTGTTATCATAAACAGACTGAGCGCTTGTCAGCACAGTACCCAAATTTTAATGGGATGCTCTGTAACTGTATCCCTCCTGATACAAACAGGTATTATCTGAGGGCATTTTTATGTATTTTTGTTCATTTCAAAGTGTCTTATATAATTGGAAGACTGTGTAACAACCCATTTAAATGGTGTTTCAAAATTAAGAAATTTATGGTAAATGCTGCATACTCTGGTATATTGTCCAAGAATACACTGGAAAGTATGATGGTATAAACCTGTTGGGATGGCATTACACAATTGTGTATGGCAGACAGAGTCCTGCACAGTGCTGTCTCCTCCATATCATCTACTGGCAAACATTTCTGCTGTGAACAGTCTCAGAACTGTATGTGGACTTTGTTTCTGATTGAACTAAGTGGTTTGCTCCAAAAGAGTGCCCAGGAGCACACTACTTTTCCACCCGCAGACCCAGACCTGACTGTAAACAGAAAAGTTAAACTGACAATGCAGGAGTACCTTCACTTCATATTTAAGGTTAGTGTTAGGGGCAGAACAAATGTGAGATGGTTGTCCTGAGAGTGGTATCCCTATCAAAATCTCCCACACAGACACACAGGACCACAGAATGGTAGGGGTTGGAAGGGACATCTAGAGAACATCTAGTCCAACCCCCCTGCTAAACCAGGTTCACCCAGAGCAGGCTGCATTCAAAACTCATCCAGGTGGGTTTTGAATATCTCCAGAGAGGGAGACTCCACAACCTCCCTGGGCAGTCTGTTCCAGTGCTCTGGCACTTTCAACGTAAAGAAGCTTTTCCTCATGTTCAGATGGAACTTTCTGTGGTCCAGCTTGCATCCGTTGCATCTTGTCCTGTCACCAGGCACGACTGAAAAGAGCAGTAAGATGAAAAGCCCGTCCTCTTGACACCCGCCCTTTAGATCTTACAAGCATTGATGAGATCCCCTCTCAGACTTCTCTTCCCCAGGCTAAACAGACCCAGGTCTGTCAGCCTTTCCTCATGAGAGAGGTGCTCCAGTCTCTTGATCACCTTCATAGCCCATCATCATGCAATTACACTGTCAAATCAGTAAGTTTATACCATATTTAGAAAAGATATGTAGTAAAAAAAAAAAAATCCAACCAACTAAAAGGCTAGAGCTATTTCTCTACCAGCACTACCTGTTTGGAATGGCACACGATCGCAATTGGAAGTTTAATAAATAAAGAAGGCTGTTCTCTAACTTCTACTCCCACTCACCAGATTTTTACATGCACAATTAGACGACTTGAATTTCTGACTAGATTCAGGAAAGAAGCATTGCTCACTATCTAAAAAGCTGTTTGGCACTAGCTTTGCTGAAATCTCTTTTTAAATGACATACTGGCTGTTTAAGCAGGTAATTCAGTAAAAGCGATTAAAATTCTAAGGGACTGGTATTAGGAGACACTTAGGCTACATATTCAATTAAGGGATGAGATTAAACAAAGTGAAAGGAGCGTTTCACTAATGTGATTTACTGCGTAGGACCAAAAGCAGCTGTACTAGCACACCAGCTCAGCTCAGCACAGCTCGCTGAAGAGAGACAGAACTGAAAGTGGAAAAAGAAGTTTGTGGTAAGACACAAACTTCTTTGGCTAACTTCACACCAAACCATCTCCATGAGAATTTCTGGTCTGCAGTTGTCTATTTCTTCAGAGAGAATACTGCCTTCACAAATGAGTAAAAGTTCAGCATGTTGCCAATCTGACAATCCATTTAAAACACGTAATGCAGTATGTTAAAGGTTACCTTATAAGTAGAATATGGTTGTGCAGTACCAGTTTTAGTTTACCTAGAGTAAGAAGCTGTCAGACTTTAATGGGGTATTAAGTAAAATTTAGCACTTGGAGAGACAGGAACAGACCATTTGAAATGGTTGAGCTAGTCTTTAATAATTCTAGAACCTGAAATGCAGTTTAGAAAACACCTAGAGGGACTTAGATACATGAGACCATAGTTTCATGACCTGTGCCAGCAAAGGCAAACACAACCATCAAAACAAAGACCTCACAACCTTTCCACGCTTATCTTTGGCCATTCCTGACCTCCTTCCACATGAAATAAATAGAAAGTTTTGGCAGACTGGTTCCATGATGGCGTTGACAGTCCGAAAGTACAAATGTCTGTATCAACGTAAGAAAGGACATTTAAGACAGGCATGACAAATTTTCCAGGAAAACTACAACTTCCCTGCAAATTTTTCAGTTTTAACACTTACTATTTTGATGTATTAAAAAAAGAAAATCCCTTTCTGCATTGATAAAAAAGAAAAATTTACAATAGTTTTGCGTTGCTGACCTTCCACAGCAAGTGAACGCTTATCATAGAATTAATCTCTGGGGGTAAAAATAGGGATGAAGAATTGGATCAGCTCCTGGGAGATTCGTTTCACAGCCTAGAAAGGCCAATAGTCTTTAGAGTTGATTTTTTCTGAAGTAAGAACTCAAAACACAGACCCTTCTGAACAAAGAGACAATGAGAAAATATGTAATTGCAGCATGTAGTTCAGGACTGTCACAAGATCCTGGATGCACAGCCTTATTATGTGAAAGCAACTCCACATTCAGCCATCCTCTGAAATTGTTTATATATCTGTTTCATTTCTCTCTGTCTATAAACTTATCTGGCACAGAATCTACTACTATTTTGTTTGTAGTTCCTGAAAAAGGTTTTATTTCCTTCATTTGGGCACAGAGAATATTACTCTGGAAATGGAACTGAGAAGCTTGTTTCTCCTTCCTTATTGATAAAAGCCACTGAGAAAGTGTTGTAAAACATCACCAGTGTTGCCTGGCTGACCAGGACTAGAGTTATAGCTACCAGGGCATAACTGATTGCTTTAAGCTTGATCCAATTGATACTGTGTTGGAGGTCTGTTCTTCCATTAACCTTGGATGAAATTGGTCCCTGAATTAGCTTCCTTGCTCTTGAAAGCTGGCATCAATTTTCTTCACCAACCCTTTGCTTCTGAGATACTGTGGCCCCCCGAGTACCCACTGGCAACAGAATGAGCAAGTGCAAGAAAGGCAAGGCCCAAGCATTTTAGCTTTTGGAGAGGCTCTGAGAACAACTTGATGGAGCGAGACACCATTTATTCTCATGTGACAAAACCTCGGTAAACCAAAGAAATAAGACTGTGCCTTGGGACCAGTTTCTGAATTCTCTTCTCTAACAGAAATAAGACCACATGAAAAATAGGTAGCTTCATCAAATGCAAGTTACTCCTACATGTGATCTGGACTACATGATGGTTACTTTACAAAAGGCTTTTCCAGGAAAGGGGTCTGGTAAACAGACCATTATAATATCGTTATAGATAGTCTCTCTTGACCTAAGAAAAAAATAACTAACTTGGAAAAGCCTCCTTGGAGAAATGGTAGAGATTGATTTAATGATAGCACGTGAAGTTAAACTATCTCCTACGGGATGCTCACACAGTTGTGCAACACAGGTCCCCTTCAGATTATTCAGTAACAACGAAATACATTCTCTTTAATTTTTTTTTCCATTTGGAAACAGTTTCTTATTCTGAAATTTCATTTTTCAAAAAATTCTAAGATGGATTATATTCAAATTTTGAAATGTGTTCAGATGCTAGCTACAGGGCAGAGTGGACTCCAAAACTTCTTCTTACAGTTTGGTTTGAAAATAATGACTTATTACAGAATTCAAGCGACAGCAGGGGAAAGGCTGTATCCCTCATATTGATTCCGAAGTTTCACTTACACCTAATGGTATCTCTAAGCCGTTTTTCTCATAAAGGATTATTCTAACATTTCCTGCCACTCATCCCTCTTGAGGAACCGTCAGCTTCTGTTTTGCCAGCTTAAGGGATGAAGGACTTAGCACTATAACCTGTGTCATTCATGACATTTAATGTTTTCAAACAGGCAGTTGAGTAATGATTTGGATCCAGTAATGGATCAAAGAACAGCAGGATCTAAATGAGAATCTACATTTCCTTTTAGATTTAAAAAAATAATTCCAAGATCGTACTTCTATCAAAATCAGTAATCAAATTACTGAATCATCAAGAGATCTGCCCTCTGGTATAATTAGTAGTAACCAGTATTTTCCTACTAACCTATTATGCATATGAGTTACTGTGAAACACAGCACACCTCTCATTTTACTGTATCTGAAATGAAAAGGTCTACTGCATATTTTCTCAAATAAGGTTCCAAATCAGGCAGCTTTTAGATTTCCAATGATATTAATTAAGAAGTCTGAATAGGAATCACATGATCCAACCACAAGAAAGCAGCAACTGATCCATACTTCAGAATGTTATAAACATCTGGCAGCATAAAAGGGATTTAAGTAGAGGAATAAAGAATCCATATAATTCTTGTATCAATCTAATATTCTGACTCAGAAGTTCTTCATATTTGAGGCAGGATGAATTCAGAAATAGCAGTGCTTGTTATCAAGAAGTATAAACACCTTCTGTGCCTCCTAGCCCCTTCATATTCTCCTTTAGAATGCTTACACATGAAATATTTGCATTATGTTAAACTGTCCTGCACCTCATTTCTTTTACCAGAAAAACAAAGATAAACAGTTTTTTCTTCATGAAGGAGGGCTGATTAGTATCGGTTGAAACTTATATCATCACTCCTTAAAGCCATACCTTCATTCACCAGACAATCTTATGGTAAAGAATACAGTCCG